AAAGCGATCAGAATACGTTATGACTATCGCACAAGCTGATAGTTCTGTTGATGAAAAAGAACGTCTCTTGATATTCTTTAGCTCTAAACCAGTTTCACAATCCCATTCACAACAAATAGGAATTACTTATACTGGAAGATATCCAAACACCCCAGCACTCAACTTTGAGGAAGCTTTGAGACATAATGGTCAATCTAGCGCTAAAATTAATATTGTTTTCGGTCAAAATGGACAACAAGCCGGTCAAGTTAATATTAAAGCCCAAATGGAACAAACCAAAGAACATAAAAATAAAGTTAAGAACAGCCAAGTTGGACAAGAATGTTTATCAGAAATGAAACAAGGATATTACCAAATGCCAAATTGCATGAACGCTACTTACCACGCCAATCTTTTGAATAAAATCCAAATTTCAGCAGAATTTGAAAATGCTACTCCAGTCTTAAGAAATATCACAAATCGTGTATTGAGCATGTTGAGACATGCTGGAATCCACAATTTAGAAGATAATGTTAATGAAATGGGAAAACATAATAAATTTGAAGCTACAATTACTACCTCTCCTCATATGAAATCAGTTAACATTACACTTCAAACTCCAGAAAAACGTTTACAATTCAATAATCTTCCAATTGAAAATAAACTTCGCCCACTCTTAGCTATTCATCCAGGAATGGACTTCTACCGTATGTATCAAAGAAACGCTCTTAGAAACGGTCACGTTTGTACAGTTGAACAAGACCAAATTCAAACATTTGATAACGCAATAATTGAAAATCAAGAAATTGGAAACTGTTGGTACACCATGTTCCAATATGATCCAGCAAGATATTCGTTACGTAAACAACAAAACAGAAATCAAGAACCATTAGATATTTCAGTTCTTGTCCGTCAAACAAGTGAAAAGAATGCTGAAAAAGAAATCACAATTGTTGTTGCCCAATCTGAAGGTGAAGATCATGTTATTCATTTATCACCATCTGGTGGCTCATCATATAAACTTAAAGTAAATGGAAATGAGGAAAAACTTTCTGAATCAAAACCAGTTCAACAATTTGATAACGATGCTGATGTAAATGACCAACCAGCTGTTGAAATAACTTCTTTACCATCAAATGACATTAAAATTAAGATCCGCGAACAAATGAGAGTATACTATAACGGACAAACTATTCGTGTACATGCAGATGAACCAAGCTACAGAAATAATACCTTAGGTTTATGTGGTAATCTTAATGGAGAACAAGTTGATGATCGTATGACACCAAAACGTTGTGTTTTAAGAAATGAAAAACATTTCGCAGCATCTTGGGCCATCACTGATAATCAATGTAACTCAAAAATAGTTGAACGTCATAACCAAGCTCAACAAGCTCGTTGTACTGAAATGCAATTCTCTAGCGGAAATGCTATCAAAACAAATTCAAAAACAGGAAAATGGAATTGGGATGATTTGTCTGCATCATCAAGCTCATCAAGCTCATCTAGTAGCAGTAGCAGCAGCAGCAGCAGCAGCAGCTCATCTTCATCTTCTGAAAGTGGTAATAGCTCATCATCAGAAAATTCCTCTTCATCTTCATCTCAACAAAACAACAGCAAATCACAGGGACATAACAAAAAGCATGGAAAAAACAACAAAAACAAAAACAATCAAAACTGTAATTTAAGACAACAAATGCAAGTTGTTGAATCTAAAGATCAAACATGTTTCACATTGAAAAAGATTCCAACATGTCCAAGCCACTGTGAAACCGGTAATAAAGAAAGAAGACAATATTCAGTATACTGCCGTGACCGTAATGATTCGGTTGCACGCATGTATGCTCAACAAATTCGTAAAGGTGCCAACCCAGACTTAGGCGCTAAAGAAGCTACCAAACAATTGACATTCAATGTACCGATGGAATGCATGACAAGAATGTGAATGAATCGAAACTACATAACCGTATGGAAAAATTTCAAACATACATAATATAAAATTAAACACTTTTAAATTTTAAATTTTAAGCGCACACCTAAAAAAATGTAAAAAAAAAATTAATAAATTATTTTATATGTATAGCAAAAATATGGTTTAATTTTTGTTTCTTAATTTCTTTAGGTAGAGGATAATTACGAAAAATTATTAAAAAATTTCTATAAATAAAGAAATATAAACATTTTAGCACATCTTTATTTTATTGGCACTTAGAAAATAGAAATACATTGACACACTATTTTAACGTAAAAATTGGGTGTGTTAACACAACAGATCTAGTATGGATTGTTGATACATATAAGTATATCAGGCAACATATATGACATGTCAGGCAACATATCTGAGATAATTGAGAATGAAAAATGATAACACACTGAATATGAAAAAATTTTATTAGATTTTGTTAGAATTTAAATTTGTAATTATTAGATTTTAAGTTTTAATTATTATTATAATGCTTTCCTAATTTTATAATCGTTATAAAAAATGTATCGTTTCAAGTTGTTCCTTATATAAAAACGAACATAATACAAATATTATAAAACAGATTGCAAGAGAAAAATATATTCATTGCGACTATTAAATTTTTTAAAAAAAAAGTTTGAGAATTCAATCATAGATAATAAAGATATAGAAACATAAAATTCCATACAAATTTATTATTTCTCAAAACAAAACAATCAATAAAGTCAGTTGAAAATATCATTTCTTCTTGTAAGTAGGCAGTGTGAGAAACTCGAATGTCCAATACCTATACTTTACGAATTAGAAATACTAAAACAAAAAGGATCCTTGTTTCTATCTGGCTTACACTTTGTAAAAACTCGTATCTTGACAGAAAAACTAAAAACTTCAGGTAAGTCTCTTTATTTGCTCCGAGCATTATCAAACTGAAATTAACATTAAATGCCAAATGTAAAAAGTAAACAAAGAAGGTTTTGTTATTTTATTAATAACATTAGTGCAGTTTGTAAATAAAAAATTATAAAATATATAATAATGAGTGTTAAAAAAGCACTATTTTATAAAAACTTATAAAAAAAATATAACAAGTGAGAAAAAGAAAAAAAATTGTTGAAAAAGAAAAAGGAGTATATGTAGTTCTAAATTGTTATTTTTATTTGTAAAAACAAATGGTTTCATTACAATATATGCATGTGAATATTATTCATTTCAATAATTAAAAGAAATATTTAAAATTGCTTTGATTAATTCATAACTTATAATTTTATTAAATTTTTAATTTTGCAAAGAAAACATTTGTTTTTGTTTTGTTTTAAGTTAATTTTACTTTGAATGACATAATTTTAACAGGACCTAATTTTTTTCCTAAGCAAAATTAGTTTGTGCTTACCGCATACAATATTTAATTTGGTCTTTTTTTCATATAATTACAGTTTTCCTATAAAAGTAATAAAATGAAAAGAAAGTGGATTGGAATTATTAATAAAGAAGTTTGCATTCCAAATATTTTACCAAAATTTATAATTTTATAATTCATAAATTATAAAATTATTCAATAAATTTATTCAAAGAGAAAAAAAAATAATGAATTTTGCTTAAATTTGATTTTTTTTACAAATATTTTGAAACATTTTTTTGTTTTTACTTTAAAAAAAATATGCAAATTACACATATTTAATAGTAGAGGCCAGATAAGAAAATAAAATAAATAAGCTCCTGTTACGATTTTGACAACACTCGGAGCAAAGAAAAAGACGACTAGAAAGAATTTGACTTCATTTTTTTTCAATATCCTCCTTCCTTTGGTATTTCTAATTCGTTGCCCATACTCACATAGTACATATTTGCCCATAAACCACAAAAATTTTCCGACGGCTGTTATAAAGAAACTAGTAAAAGCTTTTAACGTTCCTGATACGTTAATTTAGTTAAATCAAGAAATTAGACCATGTGAATATATTCTTAATATAACTAAAATCATTTTCATACTTAAAAAGAATTATATTGACTTTTAATATAAAAATAATACACATATGTAATAATTTTTATAGATTATGAAGCATATAAATTTAATTAGAATGGTATACACGTGAATATATAAACATATATGTGATTATATAAGAAGTATGCATTAGTGGGAAATACATCATACATAATTAGCAAACTTGTTAATGTCAAATGTACATTTTCTCAAATTCAATAGTATACAAAAATCAACTAAATATTTCGAAAAAAAAAAAATTGCACGATTTGTTTTCTTGTAGTATAGCATTTTTTAAACAGAGCTTGGAAGGTTTTCTTTTAAATCAATTTTTTAATGTTTTTATAACACAAAACTTCAAGAATGTTAACACTAGTAAAGTAGAAAACTATTGAATTTTAAATTTTCCTAATTAAAAATCTGAAACAACTGATCTTGTGAGAGATTTATGTTAAAAACGGGCCTCTATAGTTTCCATAAGAATACGTGCAAGTTTGTCAGCTGTGAGCTGTTACTCTCTCTTAGGGTTAAGGCATGTATTTCTGTTAGCCGGGAATGACCATCTCAAAATTAATAAATATGTATGTGAGGTAGCAACTGCATATACGAGTATATAAACTAATTTTGAAGTTGCAATTTCATTATTTGCGATTCCAATTGATAACTTGGAAGCTATATTTTTTTCGCACAGTTAGGACTGCTGCCTCATTGTGTTTAGGGCATAAAAGTCACTTAAATTTCCGACCCTGAAATCGAGAAGAACAGATTAATCGAGGTATTACTGAATTTCATATAATCAAAAAGAACTTTTCGATTTTGTTATTTTTCATTCAGAATTGAGTTCCTAGTTTTATAACTCCATATTCTCGATATACTTTGACGTTAAACTTTTCTGACTCTTTTCAATTTTTCTAGATTAAATTTGCAATAAGGGATTAAAATGAATTTAGTGTCAATATCAGTCAATATTCCAGATGTTTTTAATTGTCAAAATAATAAATGAAGAAGTAATCAATTTTTTATTGATAAGATTCTATTCTTTATTTTTTTGTTTCAATCGCAGAAACACATATTAATATTTGAATTTTTAAAAGGCATCACTGCTGTAAATAAAATATAAAAACAATATTTAAGCAAAAAAAAGGAGATAATATCCATCAACAATAGAAAAATTAAAAATAGAGATAAAATAATGACATCATTTTTTAAAAACTTAAAAAATAATTTTTATTATAACAGAGAGCAATTAATCAAAGAAAATTTAATTAGTCAATTAAGTGAAAGTGTCAAAGAAATTCAATTGGAATCTAACGAGAGAAAAGAAGGTTGTGCTTTTTAATAGAAACTAGAAAGATTTAAAATACATACACAGTCATCCTAAAAATTATTTTCGCAAAGACTTTGTGTATTTACAATTATAGCATTAATAAAACCATTAAGAACAACTCCAATATTTCTAATCAAAAAGTATGTATTGTTGATGATAAACGAGTTAAAGAAAATCTCATTGATCTAATCAATTATGGATTTTGTTCATAAACAGTGACCAATTAAACATGATTAGATGATTTTTAACAATAATACGTTGGTATCTCAGAAATAACAATCCCATGCAAAAAAATTCAGGATAATAAATAAAAACGTTCGATCTCTCATTTATAATTAATTATAACAATTAGGAACCAAACCTGAAAAATTATTTGATATCGTAAAAGAAAATCTGAAATTAAACGAAATAAAGAAAAAAATCAAAGTAAAATTGCAATATCTAATAAAATGTGTTCCCCATACGGGTCTACACAATTTCCATTATTTATCCATTAAACCTTTATTGACGTCATTATACTTAAATTGAGTTCTAAAGTCTCTTAGAACGTTGTACACGTATCTTAAGGTAGTTGCTTTTTTTTTTGCATAAGTCCCAAGATTTTCTATAACATTAAGGTCGAGGGGGAGGTGGGAAGAGAGAGCTGAGAAAGCCCAAATCCAAAACATTTTGGATGACGTTATTTAGATACATTTTAAGCAGGCCTATTTCAATTCTATGTATGGGACTGTTCTGTAGTATGCTGCCACCGTATTTTATCTCAACCGTCTTAAGTTATCTCAACCGTCTAAAACCACAACATTATTATTTACAAACAAACACTTACACTAACATGAGGTCTTTGAGATGGAATTTTTGGGATGACTTTACAGTACTTACCTTTCCAAACTTTTACCCCTACAAAAAAAAATCCCATAAAAACATAAATTTTCAAACAAAATTCAAATAGATTTAATTTTATTAGAAAATTATTTAGTTATTAATTTGCTAAAGAACAATCAAATTAAAGGATTTCATTTATTTTAGAATGTCTGGAGCAAAAAGAATGCACAAGTACATTGTGTACAATTTTAGAAGCAATTTTTCTCCATGGTTTAAAAGATTCATTATTGTGGCAAACTCTTTCAGTTATATCAGGTAACGATGCAGATCGCAGACCAGAACCAAATTTTTGGCCTTTATTGTTAGTTTTTCTTCATGCACATACAATTGAAAAGGTATATAAGACATATACATCTTAAAAATGCTTGAACAGAAAAACAAAACATTTATTTAAGATTGAAGAATTAAGTCAAATTCGAACTGATATCGGAAATTGTAGAGCTTGGATAAGACTGAGCCTTAATGAATCATTAATATCATCATATTTGAAAAATATTAGAAAAAATTCTTCAGCTCTTAATCCGTATTACAAGAGTTATGCTTTTTTAAAGGATTCTGATCAACTGGATATTGCTAGTAAAATACTAGAAGGGCTTGAAACATGTGTTCAAATGAATTTACATATTAATTCAACATTATTTAATCAGTGGACTGTATTACCATTACAATTAGCTGGTTTATATTCCCCACCATTACCTTCATGTCCGGTTAGTATATAAATAGCACTTATTGAACTACTTAAAATTTTATTTGTTTTTCTTTTCTTTTTGTAGATTGCTGCCGGTATAGATGTAGCTAGTTCATTGACAGATGATACAGAAACAATTCCAATACCAAAACCATTAAATGTAAACGAGGTTTTCCCAAATTCAATACGTAATTCTCCATTTAATAGAAATATATTTAATAAAAGAGATGATGATTTAAATGAAGAAGAAAATGTTAAATTACTATTGGAAAAAGTTCAAGATGAAATAACGTGTGATAATATACATAGTAATAGGGTTGATACTGATGAAAAAAGTTTTGAAAATGATGATGATTCCACAAATAATGAACAAGCAACAAAGCCTACAACAATATCAGTACTTTCACAAACAGTACCCTATCAAAATAATAGCAACTTAGTAAATATGGCGACTGGGTGGTCAGATGATTTCTCTCTCGAATCTGATATTTCTGGTACCAAAATTATTAACAACGAACCAAATACTTATAAAAATGCTAATCTAGGAACAGAAAATTCATGTATGAAAGATATAAAAAGCTACGGTACATCAAAAAATGACCAATCAAAATTGAGCAGATCAAATAGTATAAGCACTTCAATAACTTCAATGAAGTCACAATGCGATAAATACAGTTATGACGCATTATTGATTAAACATGAAAAAATGCATGATGATCATGAGCTTAATATGAGTGATGTATGGCATAGCTTTGAAAATAGTTTTAGTTTAACGGGTGAAAACGTTAAAGAATTAATAAAAAATGAGGATGACGATGATGATGAGAAACAAAGCGATTTTCAAAATGATGTTCAAAATAGTAACCAAAATTCAGTTACAGACGAAGATGTAAATATTTTTTTTAATTAATATATTTTACATTAGTAAAAATAAATAAAAATCTCTTCTAGGATTTTGAGATTGAAATTTTACCAAAGCTTACAAATGAAAAGTTTACTTTAAGTGAATTACAAAAAATGGTTGAATATATATGTAAATTAGGAAGGGAACAAGGATTAGACGCACAAGGGTATATGTGTGAGGGATGTGCACATCCGCTTGGTATTGGATTTGCAAATGCACAGTAAAATTAATTTCAATATAGTACCTACCTATAAACTAAATAGCATTCATATATTTTTGTAATATATTTTCAGTGTATGCTCATTTAGTGGTTATTATTTTTGTGATCAATGTATGTCATCAGAACAATTTACAATACCAGCAAAAGTTATATATAATTGGGATTTTAGGAAATATAATGTTTCAAAAAGAGCTGCTATTTTTTTAACAGATTTTCAATATAACCCATTTATAGATTTACAAGTAATTTTTATTACGTTTTTATTTTTTCAAAATAACTAAAATTATAATTTGCATATTGTTAGAATTTCAATCCAAAAATATATGGAGCATCTGAAGAAATGGCAAATATACAATCACTTAGAATACAATTAAATTGGATTAGAGCTTATCTTTATAATTGTCGTGAATCAAGCATTCATGCTTTAGAAGAATTAGTGAATGCTAAAAAATATCTTTATGAACACATACATCGTTACTCAATTGGTATTTACACATGTATTTTTTTTTTGGTTTTTAATATTATTTTTACTATTTCAAAATTTTCTAGCTGATTTAACATTAATACCGAAAGGTCAATTGATCCGTCATCTTCAGAAAATATATCAATTTGGAGAAGAGCATATACTAACATGTAATTTATGTAGTGCTAAAGGTTTTATTTGTGAAATATGCGATAGTCCTAATGTTATATATCCTTTTCATATAAATACAACGTTTACAGTAAGCTATTTCAATTTATAAAAATTATTTTTTATGTAAATTTCTTTTTTCTTTTGTTTTTTTAAGTGTGAGGCATGTAATTCAGTTTTTCACGATTATTGTTTAAATGAAAGTAAACCATGTCCTAAATGTAAACGAAAACGTGAACGCGAAAGCTTACCATTACTAGAAGCAGTGCATTTGCTCTAAAAAAATATATTCAAACTAACTGTTTCCCAAAACAAATTAAAAAAAATAGAATATGTCACGTAATTGAAAAATATTTGCATACAAATGCTTTATTTTTTGTGAAACTAATGTGATTCTTTTTTTAAATTGCATATTAATATTAAAAAAATTATTTTAAAACGATTTTCAATGTATTAAAAATTTTAAATAAAATTTAATTTATACAAAATGTACTTAATTTTATAATTTTCTACTTCTATTTCGTTTTAATTCTACTTATATTTAGTTACTCAAATGTACATGCCTACTTATTAGTACTTCATATTAATTTTAAATAATAAAAATTTAGATGACCATTTTTTACCCTAAGGAAACATTCATTTCAAAAACATGCACAACTTACACTTCGGTGTTAATTAATCCATTATTAATTTATCCAATATTTCCATTATTTAGCTAACTGAATAATAAATAATATCTTATTTTTTTTTGCGTGTTATAGCCGCTCTTTAATGAATTGTCTGCATTCTAAAACATAAATTATTGATAAACCAATGCACAATTCCCAATGTAACTTGGGGTTATCATTGATTTTAATGTATACCTATAGGATTTCATTTTGTACCTACATAATATATTATTTGAAAGAGAAATGAAAATAAAACAAAATGAAAAATGAAAATAATTTCAGTTTAGAAATTAAATAGGAAATGGTAATGGTGTCAAAATAGGTTAAGTAACTATGTAATATATTAAAATAAATTATAGTATATAAGAGTTAGGTAGAAATAATAAGAGCAAAATAAGCAATAAAATGTAATTGAATAAAATTCTTTTTATAGGTCTACTCATTTATTTGTTATACTCAGAATAAAAATTATAAAACAGTCAAAATCAGAAATTGTAGTTCAATTCGCTAAGACATAAATGTATGTATTTATGCCTACTTATATAAAATAACAAAAACAATATTTTTTCATTGAGTATGTAACATTCCTACTTTTTTATGTTACAGTCCTAAATTACATACCGCCTGCGGTCTTTTTCAATCTTGCTGCATAAGTGCGTGATATCAAATTCCATGAATCCAAAAATCGATCCATACACATAGCAATACATTTCTATAGTGATGAAATTTTTTTATATTAAACAAAGATTCTTTGCCAGAAATAGATGTACATATGTAAATACATATGTACATACATATACGTATATGTAACAAACAATATTGTTTTCAAATCAAAATTAAAGTTTCAATATACATATTCTCTTAATATTCCAAATATCTGATGCTAATATATGTATATGTATAACTGCCCCAGTTAATTAGAACCGCTTTTGGTTCTTTTAATATGTATTACTAAAATATGGACAAAAATAAAGGTACTAAAAATTTTTTTACCTGCTCAGATGAATCCAATGATGAACCTGGTTTATTAACACATTTTTTAAAACATTTTTCAGTCATTTTCTGTAAAATATTAAAAAATTAAACTATAAAAAAGATTTTGTATAGAAAAGTATTAAAATTCTTCCTATCCTATAAAATTTTTCTACACGCAATTCTATATTGTATGGGACATGTGAATTTTACCGTCAAAAGTGCTTGTGCGTTAGCCACATAAATTTGCTGTTTTAATTGATCCATTAATTCACTTTTTTGGAAACTAGACGACATATTACTATTTTCTAACGACGTCATAATTTTAATTGTTTTAATAACTTTTTTTTAAATAAATCAAATTAGATTTTAAAATATTCAACTAAAAAATTTAAAATGACCGATGAGATAAACTAATGGTGGGAAAATGACAAAAAACGCTTTGCAAACTTGATAGTTAAAATTTTATCAAAAAAGTGTTGCCGTTAAATGTTTAATATAAAAAGTGTCAAAATAATGAGCATAAAAAGTGTCAAAAGTGCTATTTACGAGATCAATTCCTTTTTTTCAGAATTTTTAATTGCAAAATAATGATTATGGGAGTTTTTGTTCATTAATTCCTAACATACGTCAAAAGGTTTTTTTTTGTCCTGTGGTTTTTATGATATACAAATATTCCGAACGGATTCTTTTTTTTCATCTAAAAGGTAGAATAAAATTAATAGAATAACGTATTTTTTTTGTCTTTATGATAGTTATGGTGGGAAAAAATGTTTCACCTTTTACTTATTCTGAAAATATTCCATCAAAATCTCATTGAGTATTCCATTCTTTTCAACTTTCGTCTTTGAAATTATTAAACGAAAACACCATTATTATATTTATTAAAGTGCGAAGTGCCAGGGTTGGTACACATACACATATTTTAATAGGACTGCCGACGATAAAATAGCAGGGGAAATCGTTCAATGCTGCCGTCCATAAAAAGGACAATAAATTTTTAATCATTTTGTAATAAATTCTTAATGATTTGAAATGAAATCACAATTTACAAAAACATAAAGTCTGTATGAAATATTAACTGCATTAAATACCAAAACGTGTACCAAAAAATACAGAAACAATTCTAATACCAAAACCATTAAATGTAAACGCGGTTTTCCCAAATTCGATACATAAAGTTACTTTAGTTTATTAAAAAAATTTTGCTTACTTGACTTGACTTGAAATTTCGATAATTTTTTTACCATAAATTAAATATACTTATTGTCAGTTGTCATCAATTAATAATCTATTACACATCAATTTGGGGCTTTCAATCTGACACAAGTATATATGATTACAAAAAGGAAAAAATTAGTCCTTTAAAAAAAAAATTTGTCCTTAGGGGAAACTGCGATTTTTCTTGAGTAATTTTCAATTGTGTTTGTACAATGATACCATTTTGGTGATTTGTCGCTAGATTGAAATTGAGACAGCTATTTTTTTACTGATTTTTGAAAAGATTTTTAGTGATATTCAATGACTTTTAGCGACCTTTTCTATTTTTGTTCTTTTATCTAAAAGAATTTTTTGTTCAGTTGTATTTAAAGTATTTTTTGACAGTATTAAAATAAAATTTTAAGTATGTATTATAATACACATAATATATAGTTTTCTTGATTTAACAATGTTCCTTGATATGTTGCAAAGTTTACTGACAATAATTGCAAAGTGACAATTGAAAAACATAATTTCATTTTCTTATTTTGTTTGTAAAACACATAAAGGAACAAACTGCACATAAGAAAACTCGAACTATAAGTACATGAAAGTGCCATTTGTTTTATTTAATGCTAAACTTTAAAGTTAAATAATTAAACGAAATATAATTCACAAAATTACTTTGTATTTACTGATTATTAAGAACCCGTTTCAAGAAACAAGTTCCATTCTTTGGTAGAGCTAACCCTATTATATGGCTCTTAAAAGATGGTACCAGAATCCCAAACAACGTTTTGATAAATATCTTATTTTGTGACATATTCCATGTATTTCACTTTGACAATCCATAAGTCCGAAAAAGAATATGTCACTTTATTTAGAAAGAGAAAACAATACTGTAATTAGAATAGAAGAGAAATAGTTGTTGATTTGATACGTAAACATTAAAGTGAAAAATTGAAAGAAAGGTAAAATTTATAAGCATTTAAACTTTGTGTTTTCTTGTTAAGTTATAAATTATTTTAAAGATTAACTTAACTAATTTTGATTTATAAATGAATTCTAAAAAATAAAATCATAAAAGTAATTAAATTTGAAAGTTAGAGTAGAGAATATATTGATTCTTACATGGTTCATTAATTACACTGCACTACCTACATGCATAAATCAGATTATATTTTGATAAAATTGCCGCTTAATGTTTTATGGATTAATAGCAATATTATTGCACTTAATTTAATTTTTAATTTTCAAAATGCAACATTTATTATAGTATTATGAATAATTTACATTTTACATATAAATAATGTAAGAAGGATAATTTACTTGCATTTGTACATACGTTGGTCTACTTATGTACATAATATGTATATATAAAAGCATCTACCTACTTTAGGAAATTATTAAATTGAAATTGAAAGAACTAATCCTTTTGCTGAACATAACCTGATCTGAAGAATATTTAAATTTAAGGATTTACGCATACATTAAACGAGTTTTTAATTAATAACAGGGCAACGGCGACCGGTGTCTATTGAATATGTTTAGAATATTGTTAATAAGTCATTGAAAGAGTCAACTATATAATAATAATGTTGAAAATCCAGCATAAAAACCGTCAATTAGGAAAATCTTTTAACAAGGTATGTCAACTTTTAAGTCAACTATAAAATATAATTGCTAAAAATCCCGTAAAAAAACAGTATAATTGTTAAAAATCAGTAAAACAGTTAAATTTGCAATGTGACCTGTAGAATTGTATGTGTGAATACCGTGAGCTGCACATACAAAGATTGATAGAATCATCATCGTACTTAGAACAAGAATAAGGTTTGGAATCAATTCATACAGCCTTTACCGACGCAGATATCTCTTGTAAAAACAACCAGTTCTCTTCTTATGATGAAGATGATATATGAAATCAATTCTTTTATATTGAATTTCTTTTAGACGTATTGGAATACGAAATTATTTATTAAGCATTCTATTTCTTTTAATTTCTGTAAACAAATTTTATGCAATCTTAAATTAATTTTAACCCATTGTTTTTTGGTTTTTTTACAAATTTAGAAAATTACAGAACGTATATCCTACACTTTCGGGGCAATTAATAAGTTATTTTTAATGTGAATTTTTTTTTATTAATACGCTTTTGTGTAGAACGTATCCACCGAGCATAAAACCTACACCTTATGCAGTAAATGCAAATGATATGTTTTTCTTTATTCTTGCTCATTCAATTAATTAAACATGATTCATTTGTTGGTCTGTAATCAATTTTTTTTGCAGTTTTTCAATTTTTCTTAACAAAATTAACATTTTTTGTCAGCTTACAATTAAAAATGATTGACTTTTCTTATTTCTCTATTGTATTTGAAATAATGTATGATGTTTTTAAAAATTTCCTATAAAATGGATGTTAGTAGTTCCTACATATTAGATTTTTTTTTGGAATAAGACCTTTTCGATTGGATCTTCCTTCTACTTACACCTTTCTTTTATACAATATGCAGTTTTGTAAGAATAATTTGTTAGATTAATACTATTAATTATCTCTTTTTTAGCACTTTTCCAAAAAATTTTTTGAAAAAAGTGCTTATTAGCACTTTTCCAAAAAATTTTTTGAAAAAAGTGCTTATTAGTTTCACTCTGTCCGTCCGTCCGTCCGTCCGTCCGTCCGTCCGTCCGTCCGTCCGTCCGTCCGTCCGTCCGTCCGTCCGTCCGTCCGTCCGTGGACACTTTTTTTGTTTACAAAACTTCTACACCCTTGAAGATAGAAAGCTGAAATTTCATACGTACATAGATCTTCACTAGAAACTTATTTCCGTAGAACAAAATGTTTACCTATCTCCCCCCCTCTAGAAGTTATACCCCCCCAAAACCCTAAAAATGGCCTTTTTTAAATATTTGTTGCAATGAAACCATAAGCATTTTTGAAATTTTTTAAACGCAGAAAGGCAGACTTGCTTCCCCAAGCGCGGTATACTATAATTAAACTTTAGAAAAACAAAACGGCCGTTCAAATTTACCGTTATCTAAAGTTCTTTTTTTCCAAATTTTTGATCTCGTTTTTCTTCTAGACCCCATAATGTAGAACTTTGAAATTTTAGGGGCTTTTAGACATTAACAAATAGTTCATTTTGTTAGACGAAAATTTTTTTCCATCTCCACCCCCTCACTAGTTATCGCCACTTGAAATTTGTAAAATTTGAATTTTTGACACCTTACATTTCCGAAACCGCAAGTTTTTTCAAATTTTTATAAACGCAAAAAGCTAACGGTAAATTCCATGAAATTAAAAAATATAATTATTTTTCTTAACTCACACAATTAACCCTTAAAATCGAGCATTATTAACCCCTTTTATATTAATTTTTGCTTTATTTCAAAGACTGCATATATGCGTCATCCTAAATATAAGCAATCCTAGAAATAGTTTCATATATGAATGAAAATAATTTTAATAGTTTGATAGGTATACATAGACTGTATTTAAAAGCAGAATTTTCACTTGTTGAAGGGAAAAGTGCTACAATACAAACCATTGGTTTGACCCAACTTTATTAATTTGAAACTTCTATATTTGGAGAAAAGGTAGAGACGGGGTTGGCTATAATTTTAATATAAAAAAGTGGAAAAAAGAAATTATTTTAATATTTATCTTTGATTTGATTAAAAATTGTAAGTGATTTTTGTTTTTTTTTTTTTTTATTATATAACCGGAAAGAAAATAAATGATTAAAAATATTTATTAATACCATTATAGGGCATAATACTTTTCTTAGGAATTGAAAAATAATAATAATAAAAAATAAAATCAAACTGATAACTTAAATTTTATAATCAGATAATTAATATTAATGATTATTCTAGATATCCTATAATAACAACAAAAAAAAAATAGGAAATGTTATATTCCTAAGTACTATCTACTAAAAAAAAAAGTAGATAATTAAATTTCATGTAATTTTCTATTACTAATTTTATTTTCAAATTCTGAAATCAAGTAAATAATTTAAAGTACTTCAAAAGAAAAGCACTTTAATACTTATTACAACCGTAGGTCTATAAAAATTTCAATTATATTCCAAAATGTAGAACATTTTAGAGCGTGATCGTGTATCTCGTTATATTTTACTGGGCTAAGTAGTGAGAATGCGAATGACTATCATATAGCTCGTTGCAATATTATGTTGCAATACTATAACATAAAACTTAAAAAGTTTGCACATTTAAGTGTTCTAAAGTGTTGAGAGTTAATACCTATATTTTTCTCGCTATAAAGCAATATTTTATAATATATTGTAAGCTACAATTTTCAAACTATGAAAATTTCAAGATTTTGATTTTAAAGTGATTAAAAAGTTTAATACGCAATTATAAAAAATACCATTTTTAAAAGTTATGTATATAGAAGATTATGTATTAGAAATAAGACTTTCATTAAGATATATATATATATATGAAATAAGAATATTTAAAGGGCATTTTCATAACCGGGTTTTTCAGATTAATTAATTTGGAATTCATTAAATTCAAATTCATACGTTAATACAACATTCCTTGACACTGAAAATGCAGTACTTATTGCGGTATTAATCTGTGCATTTCATAAGCTGAAATGAGCTGGAGCTGTATAATTACTGAACAGCATACATATATGTATTAATGCAAATTTGAAGTCGTGGAATAAAATTTTTAATTATTATGTTGTATATGCTAACAAAATCTAAATTAAGTGCATATTCTTTTAGATATAAATAATATATGTAGGTAGAATTATGTATGAAAATATATATAGGAATTTAATTATAATCAAGTTATTTATATATGTATGTATGTATATTGTATAAGTGAAAAGTAAATGAACTAGTAAAAGAAACCTTCTTTGAATTTTTAATTTTTTTTAAATGCATACACTAACATAATCTACTTCTTTCAAATTTTTTATTTGGGTTTTCCCCCCTCCTCTACTTCTTCTTAAATACACAATTATTCTTTCTTCTTAAATAATCATATATGTATATTTTGTTATAAATAATTTTTTACTTACCTGTTTGTGTCTTATAATGTAATAATGCCTTAAAGGTGTTGTGTTTTTTTCTTGTATTAAATGACTTAAAACTTTCCTGTTTTCAAGGAGATCAACCACTTCACTATTAAACCTATAACAAAATAAATATATTTATGTATAGGTATAGCAAGCGCAAAAAATACAAGTATTAAATCTAATTAAAATAATCTAATATGCTTATTTTCAATAATAACGGTATTCGATAGTAATGGAATATATTCAATTTTAATTAAAAATTAAAAAAAAAAGTTAGTACACCATATACTTCGGCAAACAAATTTTAAATTAATTCAAATAGCCGATAATAGATAAATGAGGTGGATGAAGCGGGAAGGGAGGCAACTTTGTAACTTCAGCAATTCATTAATTGTAGGAGAGTATATAACGCAACAAGTTTTTTGTTCGTCGTTTTTTGTATAGAAGAAATTCTACGATTATTTTAATTTTAATAAAAATTTGCCAAAATTTTCATACTTTTCATATAGTAATTTTATCCTTGAATGTCATAACTCCCTGAACCCTGAAGGAATACAGCACAAAACTCTTATAACATTTTCAAAATGTAAATTACACGTTACGTTCATTTCAAATAATTAACCCTCTATTTTGCATCTTATATCGCTTTATGTATTATATTAAATTTATTATATACACTTATATTCTGTTACACCTCACTATCGCCCACTGAAGTAATAAAAATAAATAAAATATAATTTATCAGCTCACCTTAAATATACCTTTCTCATAATACCTCAAATAGGTATATAATAATTATTTGTATATCTAAAAAAACCTTCGGAAAGGTCGAGATTTTGTCTTCCATTAATTAAGCTTATTTAAATTTGCTTCGTATGCGTTATATTCTTCTTGTTCTGTATAATGGGCAAAAAAAAAAATAAGATAAAAATTGATGCACCCCCTCCGAACGTTACACTTAGTTCATAGCCACAACACGAACCTAAGCCCGTTTTAGTTCAAACTGATATAAAAATTTAAAATAGAGTAAAAATAATTTAAATAACTTTTTATGACCAATATTAAATTCACTGATTTTTTGATTTTATCATTTACATTTAAAACTAAAAAAGACCTTCGGCATGATGGCTTCTATATCGAATGCAAATATTGAGATTTTCAAAATTATGATTATTCGTATGATAAAGTTTTACAGAAACAACAAACCAAGATGATTTTGTCATCATGTCAAATTTAGTATCATTTTAACTATTTCTACGTCTACAACTACCAGAATAGAACTTAGACGTGATGTGGTACACATATTATGCGACATTTGCATTCGATATAATTCTAAATATCAGTAAAATAAAGCAATTAAAATATCAATAACCTCAAATATATATTTAATATAAAGAATAAATTACGGCAGATTTGTCGTCATCTTGTGTTAAAAACCCAATGACGAACGAAACAGGGTAATGAATACAACGGTACCCTCTTCTTCCTAGGGGTTTGAAGTAGGAAAAAGATGCAAATACCCAGAATATGGGGGTGATATTTTAGTATTTTCATATATGTATATAATGAACTTTTTTGAGTGTTAAAAAAGTAGTTTTGTGTTCTATAGGGTTAAATAATAATAATAATAATAAGAAGAAGAAAAATAATAATAATAATAAAAGTAAAATTAAAAAAAAAAGGGGGTAACTAACATTTTAAAGTAGTAACAGAAAAAAACAAAACTATATTTTTTATTGTTATTATTTTTTTTTTTTCAATTTTTTTAAAGTCCACGTTATAACTTTTTTATTAATTTTTTTTTAATGTGATTCTGGCCACGGAATCGTACGGTTGTGTTTTTCTGTTGTTGATTGTTTATTTTTTTTTACATTTTTAACAAAATTCGGTAATTAAAAAAAAGATAAAAATAAAAAAAAAATTAGAAAAGAAAAATAAATTTTTTTTTAATTTTTGTTTTTGTGAATTTTTTTATTGTTTTAGTTTTTTCTTGTGTTTATTTTCCGTTTGTTTGTTTACATATTTTGTAAAAAAAAAAAGAGAAAAAAAAAACAGTTGTTTGTGTTTAAAAAGAAAATTTACCGCAGCTATACCGTCACACCTTGTACTTCCTATTCATATTTGTACTGTAAAATTGCTATTATTGCTACTACCGGCTACTGTTGCTGTTAAATTATTGCTGCTCTAATCACAATTCAATATTATTGAATTTTTCTTAGGTAAATTATTAATTTTTTTTTTTCTTAAATAAATCTTATACGGGTCTTTTGTAATTTTATAATCTAGAAAAAAAAAAAAATTTGTGTTATCAAAAATATTTTAAATTTTTTTCTTTTTTGCTTATGAAATTCATTGCCTGTAATCGGAAATTTTGTTGTTATTTGTGCAAGTTGATCACATACATATACTACATATACAAATACACATTTCCGAGTCTACCAAATTGAAATTTCAGATTGAGGGGGAGGGGGTGTGCAAAGATTTTATGGTTTATAATTAAATTTTAAAATGCAATTGTAGCAATACATATAATTCAGCAATTTAGAATTCATATTCATTATTCACAATGAATTTTGTATTGTTAATACCTGCAATAGTTTATTATGGCAATTTTGAGATCAAGGTTATATTGCGAACATTATTTAATGAAACAATATTTTTGTTTACATTTTTAAGTATAAAAAATGTAAAATAAAATGGAAAGAATTTAGAGGTCCCCTGAAACAAATAACGTTTTGACCGATTACAGGCTTAAAATTTTTATTTTTTATAAAATTTTCAATAAAATTTTTCATTATAATTTAAGTTTTTATAAGATGTATTATACAAGAAGTACATATAGTAGAGATATAGCTACGCCATCAGTAAAAAAGTACTTAAATTAAAAAAAATTTTTTTGCAGCAATGTCATTGATTTTTTTATTCTCGATCGATCTACTTTATCACTTTAGTCAGCTTCTATGAAAAATTCTTTGTAAATTGAAATGAACAATATAAACGTACTCAAACTTATGTATTTGACTTTGCGCGAAAAAAAAACTCACTTGACTTAAGTTTTAATGATAAAAGAAAAAAACCAACTTAATTTCGACTTAAAATTTATAATTTGTGACCTTACATTTTTATTTTATTAATACACTGAAGTAATATATAAAACAGCATTCTAAAAGAAACTATCTGTGTAAAATAATAATATAAAAATTATAGAGAAAATCTGTTTCCTGAAATCCTACTAAATTTGACTTAAGTACTTTTTCCCTAGAGCTGTAGATATATGTATTCTTTACACTATTTCTTGTAATTTTGTTTTTTATGATATTTGAAATTTTTAATATATAGAAATTCTTATGTGCATATACAATATTTAATTACTAAAAATTATTGAAATCACCCTATACATATGTATGTACATACTTGATTTTCTAAATAGAAATTTTCTTACGCGATAAATTTTATTTGAACAGTTTGAAATTACATATACAAAAGAATTTTATTTAATGTAATTTTTGTTTATGTTTTTAGATTCTATATTGCAATTTAAATAATTAATATAAGCAATCATATATATATATATATATATATATAGATGTATATAGTGTAATATTTAAAATTTTAGTACTAATTACCAATGATAGTAATTTCAATTTAATCTACTTACTTGTGTATTCTATGTTTAACATAACAAAAACTGAAGTTAAAAAATAAGACTCAGAAAATGCCAATAGTATATACTTGTAAGGAAATCCCTATAGAATGACCATTGGATATTCTAGTCAATAACATACATACTTGGATTAAATTGGAAATTCTTTGAAAAAAAATTACTCTGTTACTTTAAAATTTCTAATATTAATGCAGAAATTCAGCAATTTTACAATATCTTAAAACAAAAAAAAAAAATTTATACATATTTTAATATTTTTTAATAATATTAAAATATTGCATCATTCACATTTTCATTTAGATTATTTATTAGAAAAATTTAAATTGTATTGAATTTTGCTCACCATACCGCGTTTCTTCTATATAATAGACATTCATACATACATATATTATGCAAACGAACAAAACTTTTTCAAATAAATCAAATAAAAGGGAAATTGATTTTAAATTTTTTTTTTTTAATTTTTATTGTTTATAATAATTGGAGTAAATTCGGAGTAATTGAAATTGAAAAAAAAAAACAAAATCTACAAAATGTATTTTGTAAATTTTCCATAATCGTGTGCAAGTGTGGTGAAGTAGGGGTAGGTGGTTTCGTACTTATATTCATGAAGTTTTTGATAGAAAACATTTTTTTATAAAAAAAAACATATTTTTAAGCCAAGGGAATGCGCACTTCAACATTTAAGACAAGAAGAGTTCCTTCGCTTCAACATTTCGATAATTCTGTGCTAATATACAATTCAACTTATGAGGTACAATTACTCAGCTTATGACAATACCTACGATTAAAACTGTTGCTACTAAATGCTAGTACTCTCATATTACTTATGAAAATGTACAATACAAGAATTTTTTTTGTTCTTTCAATAGTATAATTAAAGTGTACATAAAAATATTTGTTATATTTTTTTTTATAATTGTACTACATAGAAAGTAACATTTCCGCATGATGATATTGAAAAGTGCGATAAAAAAAAATTGTAAAGCTTTTTTTGATAAGAATTCGCTTTTTTTTTTCTTTTTTTTTTCGTCAGTAATTAAGATATCTTGTAAGTCTTAAGATTTTTTTTTTTGTTTTTTAATTAAAAAAATTGTGAATACGTTATAGCGATACACAAATTACATTCATATATTTTACATAAATTAAAAAAATGCATTAGTACGGTATTAATAGACAATTCAGCAATAATAAAATACAAGCTGAATTGTATATTAACATCGTATTACTTTACAATTTTGAAGTGAGGGTATATTAGATATTATGATTTTTATATTTGTAATATAATAATTTAATTATTGAAATAAAATAGTTATGAATTTAATTTCTCTTTTCTTTTCAGATATTTATAATTTGTGATTTGTTTATACTTAAATTTTAAATTATATTAAGATGTGTGGTAAGTATATTTCTTATTTAATTTCTTTTTTCTTTATATACATGCATATATATGGGGTATGGTTTCAAAATTGTACTAACAATGTATTATTACATAATTCAACAATTATAATTCTTAAGCTGAATTATGTTTTAATATTATATTAATACAATTTCGAAATCGGGAACAAAATTATATACAATAAATATAATAATTTCTGTAGTATATTAGCAGATTACGTTTAAAAACAATATATTATTTTAAGAACGGGAATTAGTATAATTTAACTGTTTTTTTTTTTTGTTAGAAATTCTCTCATTTAAAACAATGTTCGGTTGAATGTTTATACCTAAATCTATACCTAAATTACGTTGAATGTATTGTGTCTAAATCTAAGTTTAGTTATTCAACTTAGTAAATTTGAATTATTCAACGAAATACCTCTTAAAATATAGTTGTGGATAAATCAAAATTAGAGTAATACTGTTAACTGTGATTTCAAAATTTCATAATATTGTATTATTATACAATTCAGCAATGACAATATACAAGCTGAATTGTGTATAAATATTCGTAACAGTAAAATTACAATAATATTTTATTTATTGTCAGATTCAGCAATTATTTTTTATAAACTGAAATGAATACTCCCCTCGTCAAAAAACTGAAAATTTTTATCAATTTATTATATTGGTGTGATTATGATATTATAATTACTGAATAAAATAATTTAAAATTTATTTGAAATTTCTGATTGTTGGCGAAAGTGGGTGTTTGTCCTAAGTATTAATGCCTAATATGTAAATTTCATATTATACATAATAATCTTCCTTTTTTTTTTTTAAATTTCAATAATAGAGTAATAAAACGTATTTCGGTTCATAAAAAATAATTGCTGAATGAAACAATAAATAAAGTATTATTGCAATTTTGATGTTATGGATATGTATACACAATTCAGCTTATAAATTGTCACTGCTGAATTGTATAATTATACAATATTATGAAATTTTGAAGTCACAGTTAATAGTATTGCTATAATTTTAAAGTTAGAGCTTAAATACTATTCAATTTATACCTAATGTATATATATATATATATATATATATATATATATATATATATATATATATAGATTTTATTCGTGCATAAAATGAAACTTATAACAACGATAATAGATTATTTCTTGTTATTTTCTTTTTTTTTTTTCAAAAAATATTTTTATTATTTAATAATTATGAAATATGGCAAGAGAGAAAAAAAAACAAAAAGGAAAAAACAAATTACTTTCACAATAACACAAGAAGTAAATAAACACACGGCCACGCCACCACCGTCAATAACTTGTAAATCATACAGCAACTTAATTAATTTGTAGGTGTTATAAATTTGTTACAAATAAATACATACTAACAATATTGATAAAATATTAGTATCTACATGCACATATGTATATACGAATGTACACATACAAATCTCAATAAATACTTGAAATAATGATAAAAAAAATGTTTTAACAATGATTTTTAATTTAAATTGCATGTTAAGGAATTTCCTGCTCTCCTTACCTTATTAAATTTTTAGCATACCGTTATGTATGTTTGCATATATATGTATGAATTGTATGTACATAATATCTTTTAGATATCATTTAATATGCATTTATACCTACTTACGTATAATTTTTTTGATTGTGTCGCAATAGTAAAAAAGAAAGGAACAAAAACGAAATTCCGTATGGATTGGAATTAAGAAAAGTGGGAAAGGAAAATAAACGAAATGGAAAAGAGAGAGTGAAGTGAGATGAAAAAATAAAACCGAGTAAATTGTAATTTAAAGAAAACGAAGAAAAACTAAAAAAAAAACACAATATAAGTGTACAATTTTTATAGTAATTTTGAATTTTGCCGTAGGTTACAAAAACTATTTTCTATATTATTTTCATAATTCATGTATAGATTTGTATTTTAAATTTTAAAAATTAAATAAACAAAATAGCTACAGCCGAACCTCCATAATATTAACCAACATTCGGCGACAAAAAGACAAAAATGTACGATTCAATTTAAGCCTTAAAAAAATGTTTTAAATTTACTGGGTCAAAATTCAAAAAAAAATTTGGCAGAAACTCTAATGGTAATTAGGATATCTGTTTGATAATAGGAGATTAAATCTGATACCAAACTATCACATCCAAATTCTCATCAGATTTACATTTGTGAAAAAAATTTTACTTAAATAGTCTCACATCAAGCGTTAAAAATCCAATAGCATACAGAGAATTGTGTGTTTACTGTCTTTCATGTCTAATATTAACGACTAATTTATGTATAGTTATAAAAAAATAAATTAAGAAAATAGAATGAGGCGAACTAGCGCGTGTTTAAAATTCTTTATCATATTTTTTCTTCAATTTGAGATCTTGTTGTTTTGTTGACCTTCATTTACTTTCAATTTGACTAAAATTTGCAAATATTCTAAATATTTTTTAGTTCTCAATTATATTGTCCCTCAATATAACATTTGGTAACCCTAATTCTCAACATTAAGTTCAAAAATATTTAGGTAGGTAGGTAGGTAGGTAGGTAACTATTCAAAAAAACTTTACATAATATCGCAGTTAATGTGATCTTAAATCTTGCAAATAAAAAATATTATAAAATTAAACTTGCATAACTAGTTATAAAAAAAAAATGTCAAACCCAAAAAGTTGTTAACAAGAAAAACAAAAAAAAAAAAAAAACACAAAAAATTTTCATTTGCCCGATCAAAGACAATCTTCGAATTCAAAAAATGTTATGCAATCTCCTTTTAGCGGAGACAAAATAGAAATGAAAAAAAAATAGAAAAAAGTAGTTTTATAATTTTTGTTTTTTTTTACTTGTTTTTCATGACTCTTGCACCATATACTCAAATAACTTCTAAGAAAACCATAATTAAAAAATTTTTAATATGAAAACAACACCGACTACATACTGCATTTACAAACTACAATGATGTTTAACATGAGAAACCCACTCCTTTATAATAAATTTCATTTGATGTATTAAAAAAAAATCCTGCCTTATGATATGAGATAATATGGGATAAATAACATGGGTTCGATTAAATAATGTTAAGATTTCGAAACTAAATAATATTCATAAACACGGTATATGATAAAGATTCGTATAATATTGACTAAATTTTAATGAATTACGGTATTTTCTTCTTCTTCAATTACTTTTGCATATCTATTCTCTAATACTCGTATCTAATAATTTAATAAATCTATTGTGGGTTAAAAATCTATTTGAATTATGGCTCAATTTAATTGAATTCAATTCGAAAAATTTTGAAATCGACCGGACAGCATTGTATAAGATGTGATGAGAGGGTACCTCTCACTTGCAATTGTGTCTCTAATTTCGAATATCGAATTTTCTTATGGAAAACTGGAATTTCTACGTGATAGAGAATTGAAAATTATTTTTTATTGAGATTATCATGGTCTGTTGGCTTTGTTGCACATGTACGAATTCCAGTTAACAAATTCGAAAATTTTCGAAATTCGACAATAAATTTCAAAATTTTCGAAATTCGAAAATAAATTTCAAAATTTTCGAAATTTATGATAAAATTAAATTTAAAATTTTGTAATACATATCCCAATGTTCCTTTCAATATTCTATGTACATACATAGTTGTATATGAAATAAATGTGTATATAAAAAAAATTCAAAGAATTGGAAGAATTTTTTTTATACTAGTGTTATTAAAAAGAAAAATAAAAGGCAAAAACAAAAATTATTTTTAATATTTCGCTCTTAGTATATTCAAGGTAATCAGGAAATTAAGATATTTTTTCAGTTTTCTGTAGAACAACAAGTATAAGACTAGAATTTTAATTATTATATATGAATTCACGTATACTTATATATGTGTGTATAATATTATTTAGGAATTTCAATTTTTGCATATTATAAAGAACGCAAACCAAACAAGAATTAAATACGAAAATTATAAATTCGTCACATATAGGAGAAGTGTTGCTTTATTTTTGCAATAATTTCGAAAGTTGAATGGTTTGTTTCTTTGAAAAACAATAAAGAAAAACAAAAACTGGCTGCGAAATTTAGTTGTCATTCAATTATATTTAGTTTTTATATTTAAAAGAAAACAAACGAAAAAAAAAATAACCGGCTTTTTTTGTTGAAGCTGTTAAAATGCCACTAAAAATATATTTTATAAACACACTCCTAATAAAATCTAAAAATTAAAATTTTTCTTGTTTTTGCTATAAATTTTTTACTTATTTATTTTTGATTCGCTATGTCCAACGAGAATCTAAATTATTTTCATGTAAGGATTACATTTAAATTTCATATCAATATTTCAAAAATCCAAATTAAACTTAAATGATATTTAAAAATAAAAAAAAAAAAAATGTATTTAAAAAACTTCAGTCCATGAATTTGGCACGTAGTGCATTAAAATATAACGAGAATTTAAACACAAATCAGAAAATCTGAGGTTATTAAATGCAAAATCCAATAATTAAATGCCGCGCATTCATATTCGGGAAAAGTATTCACTATATACATTCGTATTTCTTGGAAACCTACTAGCCCAGAATATGAATTACTTTTACTAATAGGTGTACAGAATTAAAATATAAAAAAGTCGAGAACTCATACGTATGAGCATCGTTGTAATAAATTCAGACAGATCACGAAATGCAAAGCAAGCAAAATTTTATTTTTAGACAATTATTTTTTTAAATGAGAAATATGAATTGTACGATACGCAATTTTCAAATCTGACCGTAGCGTATGTTCATATATAGGGTATTCGGAGACTTGATGGTACCTATTTGTTTCGATCCAACGTCTTATTTTCATCACTTTTCCTTAAATTTGATGTTAAAGTTCCTCTTGTATATACTATATTCCTAAATTCCGATTTTTTTTCAACCTGATTAGGGAGCACGCTATTATAGAATTGCGGAAATACTCTGTATAAATATAAAATCCCTTGTTTAATTAGTGATAAATGAGAATACATAATGTACAAAAATTTTGTATGACTACAATTTTTTTATCAGAACGAAAATAGATAATGGAAATTAGTAGTAATTTCTTATCAAAAACATTTAATAGAAATTTATCTTAAAAACATTTGATAATTATTAATTTGTTATCTTTATGTCTTATTACTAGATGAGAATATGGGGAGGGTTGGCGGGGCAGGGAATATAAAAAACAAATTAATAACAAAAGTAATGCCCTTTCTTTCATTATTGAAAACTTTTTAACTTAAAATCTTATTTAATATTACCCCTTACTAACATAATGTTTTTAATTTCAATCTAATATCGAGTATGAGCTCTATCCAACCATTCTGGGTTTAGAATTTCATGATTGTCAGCCTTCGCCCCGCGAAACTCAAAGAGGATATTCGTAGCATAATCATTTTATTGCTTATTCGAGTTTATTGTATCATATAAGCTTATTGTCTTTAATGACCGAAAAATTAAATTAAACCCTACTTATTATGATTGAATACAGTGTTTGAAAACATTGAAAAACTGTAATTAATGTCTCGGTTTTAAATCAGAGTTAGAGGAAATTTTACAATGTTATTCGCATTGTTACAGAAATTATTCGCAAAAATTGATAGGGGACCGTAACTTCATATATTAATTCACATATTCATAGTCAATATTTGTGTGTTAGAACGAGTAGACGTAACATTCATTCACATATTCTTAGTCAATATTTGTGTGTTAGAACGAGTCAAAAAAAGTGCCTTAATAAGTGCCACTAAATAGATGAGTCATATTTTTTTTTATATTTATAAAGTTTATGCAATAATCAGCCTTCCCCTATATATTCAAAATTTGATCTATCGTATAAGAAAGATTTTTTTTATTATGTATTTTATTTTGACATTTTATTTTCAGGTATTTTTGCTTATTTAAATTATTTAACACCAAAAACACGCCGTGAAGTTTTAGATTTATTAGTAAATGGTTTAAAACGTTTAGAATACCGTGGCTATGATTCAACTGGTGTTGCAATTGATTCAACTGATGGCAAAGATATTGTATTAATAAAAAGTTCAGGCAAAGTTAAAATACTTGAAGATGCTATATCAGAAAGTATGTTTGCTTATATACGAATGTATATATAATTCTGTGGTTATAAGGAAAAACAATGTAAATCAGAATTGATCGAAAAGATCAAGTTCAAAGATTTAAAGCAAGTTTTGATAGTAATCGACTTATGTGTATAGGGGTTTTCCTTATTACCACAGAATTATAATTTAAATTAATTAAAATATTTATATATATATATTTATGTAATATATATAGAATTTGCAATCGATAATAAAATTGATGAGCCAACATTAATTCATTGTGGTATATCACATACACGTTGGGCAACACATGGTGTACCATCTGAAATTAATTCTCATCCACAACGTTCTGGTTCTGATAATGCATTTGTTGTTGTACATAATGGTATTATTACAAATTATAAAGATGTTAAAACATTTTTGGAAAATCATGGATATAGTTTTGAATCAGATACAGATACAGAAGTTATTGCTAAATTAGTACATCATATATGGAAAGCTCATCCAAAATATTCATTTAGAGAATTAGTTGAACAAGTTATACAACAATTAGTAAGTCTATATTATATTTTTTTTTTTAATTTAACATTAAATTTAAATTATTTTAATAAATTTTAATTACAGTAAAACTTCCATATAATGAACTAATTATATATAAAAAAATTTCTCTCAAATTTCTATTACTAACAAAATATTTAGATTAAAGTAGTATGAAAGTTTTACTTTACAATATATTTGAAATTTAATTAAATACTATAGAAAATTAATAAAAAATTTCTTATTTTTTTTTTCTTTCTCTCTCTTCTTAAATTATTTATTAATCTTTTAAGGAAGGTGCATTTGCTTTAGCATTTAAATCAAAACATTTTCCAGGTGAATGTGTCGCTTCAAGACGTGGTTCACCATTATTAGTTGGAATTAAAACAAAAACTCGTTTAGCAACAGATCATATTCCAATTTTATATGGCAAAGGTATATTTTTTTAACTATAATATGCAATAATAAAACAAAAAGATGCTACAACAGTTCCTTAAATTTTTCAAATAAATCCGTCCCCTTCACCCCAGCCCCCCCCCCCCCCCCCCCCCTCCCATCATTCAAAATATTCCATTTCTTCTTGAATAACACTGGGACTTATTCGGAATATATTGAATCATAAAAATACGTTTGTGATATTTTATCGTAAAAATCACAAAAACTTTTTAACAGACACGAATCATTTGATATAGATTGGTTTGTGTTTATAATAATAAAGTAGAATTATTTGTTAGTAATTTGATATTCAATGTATAAGTTCCGCTTTACCAAATATCCTGCCATCCCCCTCCTTAAATCCGAATATTATTGTTCTTTCGTTACGGGAATTAAAAACAAACAAACAAAATTATATGTAACCTATAAGTAATAATTTAAGTATCGGTATTTCGTTAAATTTGGCCAACTACTACTACCTCCGTAATATTAAAAAAAAAAAATTTTTATTTAATTACAAATTTTGATTACTTTTTCCTTATATAAAAGTATTTAGAAAATATTATAAAATTTTTATAGAAATAAAACTTTAAATTAATTTAAAATGTATAAAAGAAAAGAAAAAAATCGAAAATTTCATCGCTACTTTTTTTGTAAACTAATATAAAACTGTTATATTTTTATTTTGTATTCTAAAAGTATTATAATTTATGCATTAAAAATTTATTATAGTTCTTTTTTAATATCGTAACAAAAAAAAATTTGATTTGATCAGCACATAACCGGCCGCAATGTGTATTGCTTAGTTTAGTAAAAATGTTACAAAAGATTAGAAAATGCCTTTTGAACACTTCCTTTCAACTTTAAGGAAATTAGCATGCTTTTAGCTAACAAACCTTGAAAAGTGTAAATTTGGCTCTTAGTAGAATTTTGTTTTGTGCCACCCGAATTCCCTGAAAAATTCACCAGTTAGTTTCGGTAACAATCAGAACTGAAATATCAAATATGTTCCGTAAATATGGTAAAAAATATAAAATCGGCCCCCATTTCGGTTTCCGAGCCCCGATCTTTCCAAAAAAATGAATATATTCATTGTTCTAACCCCCTCAATTTATATATTAAATTTCAAGGAATTGAATGGTTGATTATTCCTCTTTATATACGCAAAATTGTAAAATTTGCCCACAGAAAAGATCCAGTTCCAGAGATCTGATATATCTCAAAAATTGATCAATTCGTGCCATAGCCAAAATAAAATCACATATAAAATTTCATCAAAATCAGTTTAGCCAAACTTGACATACACGCGTGAACACACAAACTGAGAGACCGACAGGTTGCTAAAAATAGTTTATTTGTTGCTATCACGTTTTGTTGCCTGCCTAAATTTGTTGCTATCACGTAACCTACCTCATTGTATACAATGCGGTCGGTAATTATAAGAGAGTACTTTCATATATAGCTCTTATAGCCAGCTCTTACAGCAAGCTGTAAAACAAGCTCTTAATGATAACTCTATATTGTATGATCCCGAAGCTATAAGCATTTATTTATATGCAGGAAAAGTCCGGTACTTTCTTTTTTCAACAGACTGTAGCTAGAAAACTAGTATATCTGATAGATATATTATATGGCATTAGTTTGTGTATTCAGTCGATTTTTTTTTCGTCGGGAATAAGGCACATATTCTGTTTTCTTTAAGGATTTTCTCTTAATTTAAATCTTATGCAAATTTTCGATTTATATACGAGACAAAATGTTCTCTCTGCAGAATGACGGATGCGGAACTGAATTTATTGTATACGGGAGCGAGTTTTTAATCCTGAAAATATTTATTTGTGGAGAGGAGGGTTTATTTTAAGATTTATTTAAATAAGATTTTTTAAATTAGCCCTTGACTAAAAGTGTTTATTTTGAAAGTGCTCAATAAGAAAAAATTTTCTTTATTTCTTTTTGTATTTTTGGGAATTAAATTTTTTTATATTTTATTAATAATTTAGAAAATAATTTTAAAATTTTTCTAAAAAACTTTTAATTTTTCACAAATTAATTTATGAGTTTTTGTATAGTTTTTGTATTCAAATTTGTTTTTTTTATTATTGTTACTGTTGTTTTTTAAATTCTTTTTGAAACAAATAAATTTAAATTGTTTTTTTACTAATTAAATCTAATATGGTTGCTCTAGAGTCTGAATCGAGTGAAATGAAATTAATTTAAACGAGGTTTATTTCGTTGAAATTTGCGTTCTGAGCCTTTCAATGGGCGTCTACCAAAATGCAGATCTTTTGTCGAAAATTAAAAGTGCATCGTTGAATAAGCCAAGTTGACATTAGATCTGAATTTTCGTAGACTGTTTATTCTGTTTAGAAAAACATCGTACTTAATTTTATTTTCGAAATTGAGAGTTGATTGAGCAAATAAATTTTCGAATCAAAAATTTTTCGTGTTCAATATTACTGAACAAAATTCGAAAATTGAATTTTCCAGAAAGATTAAGTAAAATTAATGAAAACTGGAAGTAAAATGAACCGATTTTATTAAATTAATTTCGAATTTTATTTCTAGAGAGAGAGAGAATCTAGAGCAACCATTTTATACAATCTTTTTCAATTGTGAGGAATTGAATTAAAAAAGTTCTTGTTTTTGATTTTTTACTAATGAAAAGTTTTAATTCAATTTCAATCATTGTTTTTTGTTCTTATTTCACTATTTCTCTGTTTTGATGTTTGTTTTAACAAAAATTAAAATTATTTTTATTTTTTATTTTTATTATGTTTTTCTCTTTTCTTCCTCTGGGTGTTTATAATTAACTTATCAATCACACAATGAAAATGATGAAAAAAAAAAAATTTCAACTCTTTGAATTTTTTAATTTATTTTTTTTTTTTAATTCAAATTTTTTATTTAAAACCTTTTTTTATAAATGAATGTTAAAAAAAAATTATAAATTCTATCCTCAATTCTAAAGATGATTGTCAACAGAAACAAGGTACAAAAGTTTTTAAAATCTTTCTATATTAATATTTCTATTTAAATATAATTAATTATTTTGATCTTTCATTAACAGTAGTATTTGTAACAGTAGTTTTTGAATGCATATATTTTCATTTTTTGAATGCATATATTTAATTAATTATATTCAATAATTTGCACGCAAATATTGCATAAATATATTTGATAAATTCAAAATTAGAATAATATTTCATTATTATACAATTCAGCAATTACAATTTATAAGCTGAATTGTATATTAATTTACCATATTATTGTATAATTTTGAAATCATTAATTGCCTGAAATCAGAATTTTAATAATATTCTGTTAATGCAGAATTCAGCTTATGAATGCATATTGCTGAATTGTGTACCAATACGCTATTATTACAATTCCGATGTTAGGGATTTTGATAACATTTTATAGTAAAATTTAATTTAAATGTATTAAGAGTACCGCTTCATTTATTGTACACTATTATGCATCGATGTATTTTCGAATTTTACCAATAATTATATTTGCAAGTATAATTTTTAAGTTTCGAAATTCAGTAATAAACGCTGATATATCTAAAGGTATATACTTAAAACTTTACGTTTGGTTGTCTTTTGCCTTAAATATGTCAAATATTTGACTTCAATTAGATAAATTGCTTAATTTTTTAAAAGAGAATCAATTTCATGAATGTAATTAAGTAATTTTTTGTTTTGCAATTTATATCGTGCTTATACATTATAATTGCTGAATTTTCAAATAGAAAATATATGATTTTAATATTCATACACAATTCAGCTGATGAATTGTAATTGCTGAATTGTTTAACAATGCAGTATTTATTACTGTATATAGCATACTGAAATTCGAAACTTTTAAATTATTTATTATTATGAACGCCTTTTTAAGAACTTGTAGTTAAATCACAATCATTATATTTCATATTTATTTTAGGGGAAATTAATTTTTAATTCGCATAAATAGATAGAAAATCATATTTAACACGATATATATTAAACATAATACACTAAATTTAGAAATTTCTTATAAAAAAAAAATGTTAATACGTATACGTAATTCAACTGATGAGTTATAATTGCTGAATTAGGTAACAAGAAACTGTCCATTATTTTAAAAATAACAATAATACGATATTAATACTCAATTCAGCAATTATAATTAATAAGCTGAATTGTGCTTAAATGAAAACATTTTGAAGTTTAATTTATTTATATTAATATTTAACAATGATATAAAAAATTGCATTATATGATTGCTTTATATCTTATCGCTATACAACTATTCTGCACTTAAAATTCAAAAAAATTTTGTGCCAGTCAAATTAATTAAGCTTTAATAAAAAAATATTTGAAATGTCTTAAATTAAGAACATTATATTATTTCTTATTTAAATTCTTATTAGATATAGGTACGTACTGAATAAAGTAAATTTATTACTAGCAATTTTTTTTGTTGTAAATTTACAATCAAAAATACGAGATCTGTATATTTTATTTTTAAATTTTATTTTTTTTTGGTGAATAGTCAAATATAAAATGTTATATTTTATGTATATGTACTTAATTATTTATATTATTTTAGAAATATATACAAAATACGAAATTAATTAATTGAAAATTAGTAAATTTAGAGTCCATGCCTTCAAAATGATGATAGTATATAATTAATAAACAATTCAGCAATTAGACTTTATAAGCTGAATTGTGTATTAAATGCAATACTATTACAATTTTGAAGTCAGGGTTTAGTAGATTCTTTTAATTTGTTATTTATATCTAATAAGTAGCAATTTTTTACGCTTATTCTTCAATATTTTTTTCTTTGCTTTATTTTAATTATTTTTTTTGTTGCAACTTGTAAAATTTTGAATTTAGTTGAGTTTTATTCTATATATTTTACTTTTGAATATTTTCAAGACAATTTTTTTTAAAAACTATATTTTTCGTTTTTTTATTTCATTTTTTTTTTTATATATTTTTTGTGTTTTCTTCTAAAAAAAAAATTTCCTTATGGTACACTGTAAAAATTATTTTTTGTAGAAGCGGCTGATCCAACTAGCTCAGGTAATATATTTTTTTTTTCTTTTATTTTAAATTTTCTACTTCTATACCTTTCTATTTTGAAAATATGTTCATTTTTTTTCGTTTGTACAATATATTTTTTTTTCTGTAAAGTTATATTGAAATTTATTAAATTATTTATTTACTTGTACATATTAATTGCATTTAATATAAAAAAAATTAATTCTTATTTTATTTATAAAAAAAATTATTATGTACTTCCTATTTGATTTTTCAAATAGATTGACTTTAAAAATGCGTTTTGCTGAATTTTTTATACAATTCAGCAAATAGATGTCATAAGCTGAATTGTATATTAATATCGTAAATCATTAATATTTTTAAATCAAAAAAATATTAATGCAATTTGTAATTAATTCGTAATAATATAATGAGTTTTCTTAGCAGTAATATCACTATATGTATATTACTGTGATTTCAATATTTGCAGTACTATACCGGTGTTAATAACGTAATTTTGCTGAATAGCATTTGCTGAATAATATGTCAAATTAGTTGCAATTTTAAAGTCATGAATATCTTTAGATAAAATTTTAATACGAATTTCATATAGTACATAATAAATACAAAAAATATAAATATTTTCAAATATTAACACATGTTTATATTAATAATATTAAAATTGTATATGTAAAAATGCATGATTGTAAATAGTATGATAAAACTAATAATTTTTTTTTAATTATTAAAAAATAAAATATGCAATACTCAATATATAATAGATTTTATTATAACTCTGTTATAAAAATTTTTGAAAAATATATGTATACTTATATGGTGTGGCATCTACAACTATACCTTAAATGTAGATTCAAAAACGTCCACTGTCTTATTATGTATATATACAATTTTAATTGCTGAATAAGTCAAATTGAACTGTTTTAGACGCCCGTAGTTGTGTTTCTTTTTTATCTTTAATTTAAAAACTATAATTTTAGTATTTTTAATTTAATTCTTGTAATTATTCTAATATTAATAGTATAATATATACATTTTACATTTTATTTATTCATTTATACATTATTTGATATATTTTAACATTTCTTAATAAAAATTATAAATATGTTCCAAATAATTATTATTTTTTCATTTTTTCAATTGAAACAAATTTATATAGTAATTCAATTTTTTTTAAAAATTGTTTCAATAAATAAATTACGATATTCAGCAATTACAATTCATAAGCTGAATTGCGTTATCATAATTATGCGAATTCCTTGACTTCAAAATTCAATAATACGATATTATTATGCTCAATCCAGCAATTACAATTCATAAGCTGAATAGTATTATACTGGCGAAATACCGTATTATTGCTATAGTTTTGAAGACAAAGATATTGGAATTAAATTCTTAATTATTTAATTTACTATTTAAATAAATTACATTTTGGGCATTATTTGGAACATTTTAGTAATTTTTGTAAATATTGCTATGTCCACCAAATCCGAAATCATTTTTGATTTTTCTTTGAATTATTTATTATTTACTAAAAAAACAATTAATTAAAAAATTAAAATGATAAAAATCATAATTATTTTTAATATGGTAAAAGTAATCAAGTAAATTTTCTTTTTTCAGAAACTGAGATGTTGTAAATATATATTTTATTTAAAAAAAATAAAACAATGACTCAAATATTTTTATTATATACGCATAAAAAATTAAAAAATTTATAAAAAACGAATTCGTTTTTCGCTTCTTTGGTTGGTATTATGGGGGTTGACGGTACACATATCTCTTTTTTTTTCGTACAAAAAAAAAGGAATCATATAAATTACATTTAAAAATTATTTAGAATACACGCATTTATTCAAAACATAAAAATAATCAAAAAAAAAAAAAATAATATGAAAAATTATGAAATTTATATTTTTAGTGAGTTTCAATATGTTTCCTTCTTTATATTTTTCAATAGAATTACAAAAGAAAAATTCGAAAATTACAAAACTACTTAAGTTTCGTAAATATCCGGACTTCGAAATTGCAATAATATTTTAATATTAATACAGAATATTCAGCTTGTGAACTGTAATTGCTGAATTATGTATTGATGCAGTAAGCAGCTGTGATTTTAAAATTAAAGTAAAAAACCCTATTATTACATAATTCAGCAATTAAAATTCATAAGCTGAATTGTATAACAAGCCCGTATATTACTACAATTTTAAAATCAAAATATCTATTGCAATTTGGAAATCACAAATTTTAAAATTCTAAAGAAATAATTAATTGCAATTAAAACACCTAATATAGTAAATATGTAATTTTCGAATTTTAAAATTTTCAATAAATTTTCATTTCCGTTTTCATTTTATTCAAATTAATTAATTTTTCCCTTTTTTTTGTTGTTTCTCTTTAATATTTTCAATACATTTATATATATATACATATATATATATATATCAGAACATCGTCCACATGGTACTAATGGTCGAGATATGCCAGTTATACCAAGAAGTGAAAGTACATCTGAATTTATGCCAGTAGATGATAAAGAAGTTGAATATTTTTTTGCATCAGATGCATCAGCAGTTATTGAGCATACAAATCGTGTTATTTATTTAGAAGTAAAAATCTCTCATTTAAAAAAAAAAAGCAAATCTTATAATACTAAAAATCTTACTTTTTTTAGGATGATGATGTTGCTGCCGTTAATAAGGATGGTGCATTAAGTATACATCGTTTAAGAAAATGTACTGATGATCCACATGCACGTGAAATAACAACATTAAAAATGGAAATTCAACAAATAATGAAAGGAAATTATGATTATTTTATGCAAAAAGAAATATTTGAACAACCTGAATCAGTTATAAATACAATGAGAGGACGTTTAAATTTTGAAAATGGTACAGTTACATTAGGTGGTATTAAAGATTATATACCAGAAATAAAACGTTGTCGTCGTTTAATGTTAATTGGTTGTGGTACATCATATCATAGTGCTGTTGCAACAAGACAATTATTAGAAGAATTAACTGAATTACCAGTTATGGTTGAATTAGCATCCGATTTCTTAGATCGTAATACACCAATATTCCGTGATGATGTATGCTTTTTTATATCACAATCTGGTGAAACAGCTGATACTTTAATGGCATTACGTTATTGTAAACAACGTGGTGCATTAATTGTTGGTATTACAAATACTGTTGGTAGCTCAATATGTCGTGAATCACATTGTGGTGTACATATAAATGCTGGTCCAGAAATTGGTGTTGCATCAACAAAAGCCTATACATCACAATTTATATCATTAGTTATGTTTGGATTAGTTATGAGCGAAGATCGTATATCATTACAACAGAGACGTCAAGAAATTATAAATGGCTTAAAGAATTTAGATAAACAAATACGTAAAGTTTTAGAACTAGATAATAAAGTTTTAGAATTAGCAAATGATTTATATCAGCATAAATCATTATTAATAATGGGACGTGGATATAATTTTGCAACATGCTTAGAAGGAGCTTTGGTAATTAAAAACAAAAAAAAAAAAAAAAATTTCTAATGGATCAGTGGCAAATTTTCTTTAAAATATTCTTAAATTTTATATTAATAATCATAGGATTCTTAAAAGTTTACGATTGTAAATGATAATTAAATATTTCTAACACTAGCCGCACGCTGTTCGAAATTCAATTCAATAGAATTCTATATTTGGATAGAAATTAAATAATTTAAATGTTAAAGATTTGTAAAATAAAAAAAATTTAAAATAAAATTTTACAAGACTTCAAATATTTGTGTGTGAAAGACAGTCACTGATCCAATAAATAGAAAATTTTATAATTTGTTATAAAAAACATACGTCCATAACGTTTGTATTAAATATATGAACATATTATATATTTTATTTTTGTTTTTTTTGTTTATTTTTTAGAAAGTTAAAGAACTTACATATATGCATTCCGAAGGTATTATGGCTGGGGAATTAAAACATGGTCCACTTGCTTTAGTAGATCATTCGATGCCAGTTTTAATGATTATTTTAAGAGATCCCGTTTATGCAAAATGTATGAATGCTTTACAACAAGTAACTGCACGTGAAGGTCGACCAATTATTATATGCGAAGAAGGTGATGAAGATACAAAATCATATTCATCACGTGCACTTGAAATACCAAAAACTGTAGATTGTTTACAAGTATGTTAAAACTAAATTCAATTACTTATATTCAAACAAAAAATTTATTAATGTGTGAAATTACTTTTTTCAATTATAATATGAAATACTTTTTTAAATTTATTAAGTTTTTAATTATAGTTTTTAATTTTATTTTTAATTTTAGGGTGTTCTCACAGTAATTCCTATGCAATTATTGTCCTATCATATTGCTGTTTTACGTGGTTGCGATGTTGATTGTCCCAGAAATTTGGCTAAATCAGTTACAGTTGAATAAATTTAATTAAAATTTTTAATTTTATTATGTTTAACTTTTTATATTTCAATTTTTATCAAATTATATTTAAGCACATCATATTATTTTTGTCATTTTAATTATTTGATTATCTATCCTCTAGAAATTTCTACAAATTTATTATAAAATTTTATTTTAAAGCTCTTAAACATGCTTTATATATATATATATAAATTATAATATTTTCTTCTTATTTTATTAACTTGCAATACTTTTTTAATTTTTTTGTTTTTTGCTTAAAATAATTATAAAATTTTTAAAATGTGAAATACTTTGTATGAAAGAAAATTTTTTTTACCTTTACACAATAAATGTATTAAGAAAAAATTGTAATACAAATGAATTCCGTTCCTTTTAATTTTGAATTTTAGGGGTTTCATGATTTTAATTTAGGGCTCAAACTTTAAGATTGGACAAATAGAAGAAATTGAAAATATTAAAAAATATCATCTTAAGAGTATATATGGTAATTGCAATGGATAAAAAATGTATTAGTTTCTTCACGTTTGATTTCTAGAACTAGAATAAAAGGTAATTTTTAAGTAGTAAGATAAACTTATTGACAAAATAAGTACTACGGTACATACCTGACCTTGTACGCTTCACATTAGTAGATCTACGCTAAATATTTGCAAATATGCGCTTGATAATGGTAGATCTTAAGCTATAAATAATTTAAATTTTAAACTAAGGTTTATATCGGTATCGAATAAATTTGATTACGATTCGGATTTAAGAAATTTCCCTCCCGACTTATATATTTTTATTATAACTTTTAAATTATTAATCTCACAATTACCAGACTGTCACTGCGCAGAAATTGTTGAAATTGAAAAAGTGCTGTTGTTACAGAAAAAAAAAATGGTTATATTGTAAATGTTAGAAACAGTTTAAAAATCTGCTAGAATCCATCAAAAATATATGTGTAGATCGCCTTGTTTGATTTTAAAAAAAGGACACGGGGAATTTATTGAAAATCTATGAAGAATAGCTATTATAAATCACTAGATTTTTTCACTAATTTTAATTAAAAAACTTTTGAAAAATTCGAAGTTTTAGCTATAAAATTGCTAAAACGTCATTGACCTCACTCACTAATATGAGATTGACAAACAAAATCCGTTTTATTCAACAAAATTGTAGGATGCACGTTTATGTTAAGTATGGAAACGTTGATGTCGTGACCAAGTGACTTTTATACACATAGGAATTTTCGGGAGAGCGAAAGAGTACGCAAAAGATGTCTACCTTTGTTTTTTTCAATGTATTTTTAAAGGCGTACAATAGCATTTCTGTGATTTATTCCACTACAAGGTGGTATAAAAAATAATATTCGTTTGTATACAAAAATGAAAATAAAAAGGCATACTGCTTAATTTTAGCTAAGGAAATTTTTTGTGTGCAAATATTGGTGAGTGATTGCATTAGGGGAATGTAAACGGAGAATCGAACTACTTATTAAATCGATATACTTTGATTGGAAGAAGTTGATTTTATAAATTTTTTTTTATAATGTTAGTTTTTACTCAGTTTAGTAAAGTTTTAAACCTTACAATTGAATGTTCTGAATTTGGGATTTATATAAATAAAATTATTAGGTTATTAAACATCGCTATCTTTTGTGAAATATTAATACTAAACACAAGACAAAACAAAATAAAAAATGGCAGCACTTTTATATTGACGTCCTGAAATTTGACTGCCAATTAAAAATATTGACATTTTTGACACATTAATCTTATTTCTACAGTTGATAAAGCCGACGAATGAACTAGAATAAGGATTTTTTTTTTGTTTTAAAATTAAAGTACCTATACTCAATTATAATAATAATAAAAAAAAATAATATATTTGAAAATATTTAAGAGTTAAACGAATTAATGAGTACCTTATGTAGGCATTTGGATTATTCAAGAACATAAATAATTGTTAATTGAACACAGGGCAAAGTGTGAAAGGATTTACAATATTATACAAAAATTTAATAATACTCTCTTTAATTGAAGACGTAAATATTTGGAAGAGCTGCTTTTAATGATGTTAACTAATAGCGCTAATACTGTTGGAACAACAAAAAATCAAAAGCAAACACAACAATTAAGTCCTTTTGTATATTGGGCTCAAACAGAAGATTTAATAACACTTAAAGTTGATCTAAAAGAAGTTGAAGTAAAAATACATACATACATACATATATATTAATTTTAATCATAAGTATTTTAATTAATTTCTGTTTTATTTTTGTTTTTTTTTTTTAAGCATGTTGATGTTACCATGGAAAATGATATTTTACATTTTGAAGCAAATGGTTTAGGTGCAAGAGGAGTTAATGATTATGAATTTAATTTACATTTCTTCTCGGATATAGAACCAAATGTATGTGTAAATGACCACCATTTTTCGAATAATAAGCAGATAATAGATAATGAATTTTAATATAGATAATGAATATCGCGCCCTGACAAAAATATTGAAATAACTCAGAAATATTTAATTTTTTTGTTTCAATACAATATATTTGTGGGATATTGTTCGTAGATAAAGTTTTGTATCAATATCTCGAAAATGTAATTAAACTTTTAACAATTTGAACCGAATTCAGAATAGTTCCATAGTGTTGTTTTTTATATGTTAGTATATTCAATACCGCAATATTGGGATTTCATCCACATTCTAAAACTGACTAATTTATAGTGTACTGTAATTTGTTGAAAATAATATGTAAAGTAAAGAATATAATCTTAAATTTAATTTACCCTGGTTCCCATATTATAGAAAAACGTTTTCGCTGCAATATTTCTTGTTCTATATTGTATTTCAAAAGCTTTCAACGATGTAGTAAGTTCCAAATTATTTGGAAACCGCTTTGAATTCACAGGAAAGAGCGCAGCAGAGAACGCAATGCAAAAATTTCCCAATGGTTTTTGAAAAAATTTTATTTAAGCGGTGTTTGTCACTAAAAGTAAAATTTATTAAAATTTTTTTCTTTGTTTAGATTTAAAGAATACTTTAATAATTAATAAAAAAGCTGTAGTTGAAAGCTGTGCTCTCTCCAATATGAAATTTTTCCTTACACAGAAACTGTGAAATAAGAGTTGTTGAAATATAATTCTCAGGGTGTGATACATTTTTTTAATTTTTATTTAATAATCAAGCTGAATCAGCCTTATTCTACTAGACACGTCTCACATAAAAATGTGAGAGTTGACAGATTTGCTCTATTCTACTATAGACGCGCGTCTGACTTTGTCACAAAAAGCGTCCGGAATGTTATTCTACTAGAGGCGTTTTTAAAAAATGTCACATTTTTTTTGTGCCTTATTTTCAAAAAAGTTTCAGTTGAAAAAGTGACGCGTCTGTTAGAACATGGCTTGGCTTGCAATTGAAATTTGTAGTTTATTCAAAATTAATTTTAATTAAAAAATATTATTTGTGTTTCTATGTTGCATATTTATTTGTATAAAATATAAAAGGATTCAACATATAATGTGCATGATACAAGAGTTACATTTAATATTAAAAAAAAAGTGAATTGCTGGTGGCCTCGTTTAATATGCCAGCCATTAAAGCCACATTGGTTAAGAATTGATTTTGATAAATGGAAAACAGAAGATGATATTGATTTAGAAGAACCAATTCGTAATATAATGCAAGATTATCCTAATACATATAAAGAATTACAGAGGCAGGAATTTGGTTATATTAAAGGTAAAAAATTTTTCTTGAAATTTTATAACGGTAAAAATTTTTTTGAGTTCAATAATTAATATATTCATAGAAGCATACATATATACATATACATACATGTATGATACATAAAATTTAATTGCAATTTATTTCTTAAGCTAAATCAAATTTAAAAATGCAATGGAACCTAGAAAATTCAAGCTGAAAATATTTAGATTCTTTTTGTAATTTTGTTTTAGAATAACTGTGATTCCATTATTCCAGTATCTTAAAGGTCATAGTAAATCGGATATTTCTCCTGATACTAATCTAGTAAAGCATACGATTTACAAGGAAATTATAAAGCATGTACCTACATACATACAACATTTATTCAATATTCTGGGATATTGAATTAATATCGCTTTTAAAAATTAGAATAATGGAAGAGGTAATTAGACAAAGGGGTTAAGGAGCATTTTTACGAAAATCGAGCTTTTCGGATAGAACATCATTAAATTTCATATATTTTCAACTGTTATAACTAGAAACTTAATAGAAGACGAGATTGACAGTGCACATAGGAAATAAGTAACAAAAGAATTAATAGTTTTACAATTTGTTAATGAAAAAATGTGTTACAATGCAAATGTAAGTTAACCTCTTTGTTCACTTACCGCTTCAATTGTAATTGTAAAAATTCAATCATGAGAGTATATGGATATTATGAAAAGCAGCAAAAAAAGCATCTTGACATTCATCTTGATTTTAGATATGAAATAAATGTATATGCTACCTAAATATCTATTATCAGATAAATTGTTGTTTAGATTAAGCAATAAGCATTTTGCCAAAAGAAGAAAAAGCTGACTAGAGCTATCATGCATACTTTTGTATGTTTAACTAGTTTTTTTTGTTCTTTGTTGACAATAATGTCAACAAGTTCTTTGTTCATGGATATAAGAATTGTATATCTTTCTATTTTTTGTACAACTTCTATCAGATGTTTTTTCAGAGATTTTAGATCAACCAAAATCCATGAATAATATTTAATTTGAAAACTTTGGGTATAATCGGAAAGTAATCGATGCAGCATCGATGTGCAATCATGTAAAAATCACATACGAAAATGCATCAATACGCATCGTATGTCCATCAACTTTTTTTTTTTTGCGATTCTGTGTTGATGCAAAGTTTTTTAAATAGAAATTGAGAAGCAAATAATTTATTATTTTAACTCAATAGCTAACAAAATTAATTATTTCTTTATGATCGGTATTAATATTTTTAAATGTTCCATAAATGTTAAAATCTCCAAAGCTTAATTGAAATTAAAAAAAAATTTTTAATCTATTAATATTCAGTTAATAATTTTAATACTTTTATACAAAACCTTTTCAACATAAATGCCAAAAAGTGTCCAAAAAGTCAAAAAAATATTGCATTAGCAAGGCAAACAACGCATTACATTGGTACAGCATCAGCAAACGTTTTTTGTATCGACGCTGCATTGATGCTCATTTTTGATTACTTTCCGATTATATCCGTTATGTTAATGAATAACGAAAAAGAATTTTAAACTTTATTTGTACAATCAATTCAAAAATAAAAAAAGTTATTAATTTTCTCAATTTTTTTTTCTTCTATTTTCAGAAAAAGGTAAGATGGTCTATCTATTATTTTATAATTTTGGAATGTTTATTGGATATTTGTACATTTTCTCTGTAATGAGTATATTATATTATCGTGATGGAATTAATTGTATGCCAAATATATATGAAAATGTTGGAAATGCATATAAATTTGTACAATTAATGCAATATTTAGAAGTATTGCATCCAATATTTAATTATACAAAAGGTAGCGCTCTAATACCATTTTTACAAGTAACTGGTAGAAATTTTATATTATTTATAATGATTGATAATGAAATACGTATGCAAACAAAACCAGTTGTATTTTATTTATTTATAATATGGACATTAATTGAATTATTTCGTTATCCATATTATATAACACAATTATTAAATATAAATATATATATATTAAAATATTTACGGTATACATTATGGATACCATTATATCCATTGGGTATTGTATGTGAAGGTGTTATCATATTACGTAATGTACCATATTTTGAAGAGACACAAAAATTTTGTGTAAATTTACCAAATAAATTTAATTTTACATTTGATATGCCATTATTTTTAAAAATTTATTTATTAATATTGGCATTACCTGGAACATATTTTTTGATATCACATATGACAAAGGCAAGAGAAAAAAAATTAAAAACAAAAAAGAAGTTTTTTTTGTAAAATAATGGATTTAAGATTGTGAGATCCTTCTTTGATCCTTTTTTAATTTGTTTTTTTTTTTCTTTTTTAATTTGTTTTGTTATATTGATGAAATTTTTGTTTTGTGTTTTTTTTTCTTTTAATTTTTGATATATAAAAATTTTTTGAATTCAAAATTTGGTGAAGTAATCAATTACTATAAATAGTAATGGTTTATTTTATTTTTTTTTTTAGTCCTTAAATCTTTTAAATTTGATTTTTATCAGTTTTAATTTAAACATTATTATCTTTTATATTCTGAGATATTGTAAATGGTACATTGTTTATTTTGATTACCTCATTAACATTGTAAGGCATATAAAAAAAATTTCCAGATAAGAGTAACTATCGTTAGTTAAATAATAAGAAAAAAATTCCAATTAAAGTTGCCTTGTTAAACTTTTTAAATAATTAATTTAGAGATAATTTCGTATAACTTATTGTTATTTGAATTTAATTAAATGATTATTGTATTTCATATAATTTTTAAGCTTAAAATTGAAAAAAAAAAATTAATTTGAACAATTTTAAAATATAAAAGGAACTTGCAGAGTAACTATAAAGTAAATAATAAGCAATATATGTATAAAAAGAAAGTTATTATATCTTAAATAATATCCAAGAAGCAATAATTTAAAATTTTTCTTATTTTGTAACATTATTGGTATAATACATGTATTCATATTGTATATTATATTCTTAATATTATTTTGTAATAGTATTGTATTGTTTTAATATAGAATTGCTAAAAATAAGTTAAAAAAAAATTGTAACACATGAAAATTATTCAAATTAATTGTTAAAAATTAAGTCATTAAGAGGGAAGGGACTAAGGGAGTTCAAATTAAAAATTCATAAATTAAAAAAACATAATGTATTAAAAGTTTAATTAATTATTTAAGAATAATAAAAATATTTTTGCATTCAAATAAAAGAGCAAGTTCCTTTTCAATTTTTTTTTTTATAATTAGGTACAATTATTATTATTGAAATTCATGAATGTAACTGAAATTGAAAAAAATATCATAGCGTGTAATAGGAAAATATGCGTATCTTAAGTAATATCCTTCAGTTCCAAATTGTAGAATACTTGTAAACTGTTTTCTTAAAAATTGTAAAAAAAAATCAGTTTTTTTTACGGATACTATATAAATGTAAAGATAAAAAAAAATTTGACGTAAAACATTGGGTGTTTTTTGAAAATGTAGCTCTAAAGGTTTGGGAATTGTAAAACTTTTAAATCTCTACTTTTAATTTCTGCATAAAGCTTTGACAGGTTTGTGCATTTCTAATCTTAAGAATTGCTCTTTTTGAAATATGTACCAATTGTAAATTTTAATGTATGTTTGAGGTTTTAATGCAGTATCAAAATGTTTGTTTTTTTTAAATGTGGAACTCAAGGTTTTTTATTCTTTATCTTAAGTATAAATATTTGTTATTTTTTGTTTGTCTTTTTATAAGTTGGGTTTGTGAGAGATTATTTCTGTTTTACAATTTTATAAAAATTAAATGTATATTATATAAATATAATATTTGAAAAAAATATTTTCAAAGATAAGATCAGGTGATTTTAAAAATGAAATTGCTAATGTATTATATTTATTGGGTAAATAAAATATATGAGGCGAATATATGCTAACATAAAACAAAATTTTTATATATATTTTTATTTCTTCAATATTTTCAGAATCAGATGATTCATAAAAGATTTTTTTTAATAGCTTTGAATTGTAATTTATAAAATATATAAATGATAGACTTTAAAACGCAAGTTTGCTGGGTGTTTGAGGTCATTTTGAATTTTTTTTAAAGATTTCCGAATTACATTCAATAGATGTATGGTATTAATGCAAAATTGAACTCTCGTATTCTTAGTTGTAATGGCTATTACTGAGTTTACTGAGTGCTATTTTGAGATCTATCTAGATATATTATTAACTGTTGACTGAGTTTTCTATTATTAATGTTATTACGAATTGTATAATTTAAAATTGTTACGCGAAATGACATTTTCCAAATGTGTAAATTCAAAGATGCAGTTTTAATGCGTTTAATATGATGTATTTATTGTAGGTCCCTACGACTCAGCTTATATAAGTATAATAATATCCTGAATTAATATACATATTTAAATTTATATGAAATTAAATATAATATTCATAATTAATAATTATGAAACAAGGCTACATTGTTTACAATCAACATTTTGCAATGCATATAGTTTTTGAGTGTATCCGCAAATTCTTTAACGTCAAAATTTTGATTTTAGTCTGCAAACTGTCTGAAACTAAAACTTTTACGGACAGAAATCTAGTAAACTTTTTACCCGTAATTGACTTTGAATTTTGATCATCCGTAAACGTCAAAACAAAAAAAAATTTTTTTTTAGATTTAAAATAATTTTATACTTACATATTAAAAATTAACAATAAAAATATTTTTTATATTATTTTTAACGTAATGATAGTCACTCAACACATCAAATTTATTTACTGAATTACTACGTCAGACTGTCTGCATGTAAAAAAAAAAATCTACAATTTTGACGCTTAATTGACTTTTTTTAAACGTTTAAGAATTTAAACTTTGACTGAGAGTAAAGACGTAGTAGAGTATCCGTAAACTCAGACAACTCAGATTTTGTAAAATTTGACGTTTAAGAATTTACCATATTCTTGTACATTCAATAACAAAGAAACTAAAACAAATACCCTGATTATTGTAGGGAGTTTTTTGTACTTTGTTTATTTTGTAGCTAAACTCAAAGACAGCTGAGACTGTATATACAAATGGATTTTTAATCTAGAAAGTTATTTCCATAGAAGAAAATTTTTGCCTATTTCCCATCCTCTACGATCCTGAAACATTTACAACTGACCCTACGCTGAAAGTTTTAAGGTTTTGAAATTTTAATAGCCATTTAGATATTATAAAAAGTTTATTTCGGTAAAAGAAAATTTGTTTCCAACTCCATCCCAAGAAATTTGTAAAATTTGAATTTTCGGCATCTTATATTTGCCAGACACTGCAAGCTTTTTCAACTTCTGACCATTATATTATCTACGACTCTTTCAATTGCTTTTTTTCCTCCACCTTAAATGTATGCGATATTTTTTGTACATGAATTCGAAAATATTTTAAGGCCTGATCGTCTATCTCGCTATTTTACTCGTCAGACCGCAAGTGAGAAGAAAGTGAGTAACTATGATACATTTGTATAATGTAATTTTCAAGTGAGAAGAATTGCTTGGCAATTGTGTATCTCATTTTTTTATACAATGTGTACAAAATTTGTTTATATTGTTTTTGAAAGTGAAACGTTCTGTCGATAATTTCAGAAAAAATACAAAAATCCAATAGAAAAAAATGAGTTATCTTAATGGAAAAATGAAATATTCATTAAAAAAACGGAGAATTCTGATTTGAAAGTGAATAAAATAGAATAAAAAAGCGAGATACACGATCAGGCTGTAAATACTTATGTAAAATATGTATATATGGATGAAACAATTCCAGAAGAGGAGAATTTCAGAAACCCAATTTGGGTTTAAGAACAGGCACAGCACAATACATGCTATAATTAAATTAACATCGGAAATATGTTCATTCATCAATAAACAATACGGAGTCGGACTCTATTTAGTAGATTACAAAGGCTTTTACAAATGTACCCATACGGCGACTAATTTTTACTTTTGATTTACGATATAATTTCGGAACATGAATTCACAATAGCAAATGACTCGAGTAGATGTAAAAAGACTTAAAATCGAGAACGGCTTACAACAATAAACTATTAACTCGCTCGTTTTATTTTCGATTTAGGTAGTTGAGCTTTACTGCAATAATTATACGTTGGCTTTTGCAAATGATATTATATTTTACTCGGTAGGAAATACAGTGAACGAAGTTAAAAATATGGTTAAGAAAATGTTTAATCTAACAAGGGATTATAGCAAAGTATGGGCTCTAAAGATTAACTTTAATAAGTGCGAAACAGTTTTTCTTTCGGAAATCAAAGAATAAGGTAAATTTCGATATTAGAATACATTGAAAAAATATTAAAATTAAAATAAACTAAAATAGATCTTTAGAAAATAAAAAAATCCGTAAATTGGTGTCCATTAAATTATATAGAAAACATTAGAAAAAGGTAACAAGGCTTTCATGGCATTGAAACGTTTATTTTACACTAAGGATATTAGTAGTAGGGAAGAGATATAATATCATACTTGACGATTTTGAGCATGCCTCTTTATTATTCTACTTTGATAGACATGCAAAAACATTAGTTATGTTATGATCCAGCTAATTTTGATTATAGTTAGCTAAAATTTGATATTAGTATACCATATAGTAACTCCCTAGTAAAAAAAGATTATTGGTGGTTGCAATGGTAATATCAAATAATAAAATAAAGTTGGGTCAAACCAATGGTTTGCAATGTAGCAGTTTTCTCTTCAACAAGTGAAAATAGTGCTTCTAAGAACAGTCTAGCTATGCTACTACATTATTAAAATTATTTTCATTCATATACGAATACGTTTTAAAAATTGCATACATTTAAGATGGGCAATATATGTAATTTTTGAAACAAACCAAAAAAGAATGAAAAAGACGTTACCACAGTGCTCGAATTTAAGGGTTAATTGTATGACTTAAGAAAAATAATTACACTCTTTAATGGCATGGCATTTACCGTTAGCTTTTGTGTATTTATAGAAATTTGGAAAAGCTTACATTTTCGGAAGCATAAGGTGCCAACAATTCGAATTTTAAAAATTTCGAAAGGCGATAACTTGAAAGGGGATGGAGGTGGAACAAAATTTCTTCTAAAGTACAAAACTTCTTGTAAAGTACGCCGCAGTAGAAGAAACAAGCCACTTTTTTTTGCGTTTGTAAAATTTGAAAAATCCTTATAGTTTCGCTGCAATAAATAGTTGAGGAATGCCTTTTTTAGTATTTTGAGGGGCTATAGTTTTTAGAGAGGTGGGTGAAGAGTTAAAAATTTTTTTCTACGGAAATAAGTTGATAGTAAAGATGTATCTATGTTATTCAGCTTTCAATCTTCAAAGGTGTAAACATATCCACGGGCGAACAGACGAATGGACAGAGTAAAACTAATAAGCACTTTTTTCAAAATTTTGTTGGAAAAGTGCTTAAAAAGAAAAACTGAGTGCAACATGTAATTCCGGTATTTTCGCATTAGCAATAAGTTAGTATATAACTTAGTTTAAGTAAGGTATACGTTTTAAATAAATAAAGCTCTATTAGAAAAACATATTATGTAATATATGTGTGTTTAATAGTAATATTTTCAATTGTTCATGGGAAAAGCGCTTCTTTACAAACAATTAGTTTCACCCAACTTTGTTTACATAATAATAAAAAATCTTATAGAAAAATCTGAAAATGTAAGTACATAACGTAAAGGATTTGTGTAAATAAAACGCAAAACGAGATAAACATGATTTTTATAATTTTTTTTTTGTTTTCTTTAAATATTTTTAAATATTTTACTTAAATTTTCTTCATCGCAATAAAACACAATACAAATGCATAACAATTTGATAAATAACTTGGTTTTTTTTTTTTTCAATTTTTCTTGATTTATTTTTTTCTTTGTTTTTCTTTTAATTTTAATTAAATTTACTTTATAATTTTTAAATATTAATGCGTTTATATAATATTATATGTACATAATATAATTATAATTTAATAAAATTGATTTTAAATCTAAATATTTTTATTGTTATTTTTGGATTTAATAAATATTAAAAAAAAAATAAGATTTTATTATTTAATTATTTATGTATGAGAAATTTTTTTATTTTGAATATACAAT